CCACTTTCTCAGACAGTTCGGTACTAATACCTGACCGCTTCCGACGCTTCTCAACCTTCACCTCTTTGGTAAGAGGGGTAGCATTCCTTGTCCACATTGCCAAGTCATACAACCACTCAGTTCAAAATTGCAAATGCAAAGGATGGCACAAATGTGACTCACCCCGCAGTCCAGATGAATTGGATCAAGCCAAGGATGTTATCCTAAAAGTGGCCCAACAGTCAGCCTTTGCAAATGAACTTTCAGCCCTTAGAACTAACAAATCAATACCCATCAGCAGCCCTTTGGGGAAGCTCAATCCAACCCTGGAGAACAACCTTATCATTGTTGGAGGTCGACTTAAGTACTCCAACCTCACCCCTGTGGAAAAGAACCCAATAATCTTACCAAAAGACAGCCACATCTCCCTACTGCTTACACGCTATCACCATGAAAGGGTGAAACACCAAGGTCGACACCTGACAGAAGGTGCTATCAGGGCTGCTGGTCTGTGGATTTTGGGACGCAAGCAACTTATCAATTCAGTACTCCACAAATGTGTGACCTGCCGCAAATTGCGTGGGAAACAGCAAGAACAACGCATGGCAGATCTTCCACCTGAACGCCTCAAAGTCTGCCCTCCCTTTACGTATGTGGGACTTGATGTCTTTGGTCCATGGTCCGTTACTACCAGACGCACCAGGGGAGGACAAGCAGAAAGCAAGAGGTGGGCCATTATGTTCAGCTGTATGAGTTCACGAGCAGTCCACATCGAGGTCATAGAGTCCATGGACACATCTAGTTGCATTAACGCACTCAGACGCTTCTTCGCACTTCGAGGCCCTGCAAAACAGCTAAAATCTGACTGTGGCACCAATTTCATTGGCACGAGCAAGGAGCTTGGTATGGACAAAACTATGCAAAGGTACCTCAGTGAGCAAGGATGCACCTGGGAATTCAACCCACCACACGCCTCTCATATGGGAGGCTCCTGGGAGAGAATGATTGGCATTGCCAGAAGAATCCTTGACTCAATGCTCCTACAGCAGAACACACAACTAACTCATGAAGTACTGTGCACCCTGATGGCAGAGGTTACAGCCATTATAAATGCACGGCCACTTACTCCTGTGTCTTCAGATCCAGAGAACCCCTTCATTCTCTCACCATCAATGCTCCTCACACAGAAAGTGGGAGTTTCTCCTCCTCTTGGGAATTTCTCAGACAAGGACTTGTACACTAAGCAATGGAGACAAGTTCAGGCCCTTGCAAACCAGTTTTGGACCCGCTGGAGAAAGGAGTACTTACACTTATTGCAACTAAGACAGAAATGGACGGCAGTTCGCAGAAACCTTCAAGTTGGAGATCTGGTTCTACTCAGGGACAAGCAGACTGCCCGCAACTGCTGGCCAATGGCCAGAATTACTGCCACATTCCCTGGAAATGATGGACATGTCAGGAAGGTTGAGTTGAAGATAACTGACCAAGGAAATCCAAAGACCTTCCTGAGACCTTTAGGAGAAGTTGTTCTACTTTTACCTAAGGACTGAAGTAAAAACTGAGTTTGTATTCCCATGTTCTTAGTGACCTCACATAGGTCAGGCGGGGAGTGTGTTGCCTCTAAGGCATTTGTTTAGCTAATTGTTGAAGTTGTTGTTATCTATTTTGGTGAAGGGCCAGGTTAATAATTACATATGTAAAAAGAAATGATAACGCTAAATCTATTTACCGATTGGCACCAGGTGATGACGTCATTTCCGGTTTTAGCGATTTCATGCTAGTAAGAAAGATGGCAGACATAAGGCTCTTGTTCGCGGCATGTGTATTCATTTTCATCTGTTAGGAAACGTGATAGAAGCAATGCCGTAAGTTATGATATGTGTCAGTTGACATAGTATTGTTAACATTTGCTATGATTGTTTTAAAAAGAGTTAGATGTGACGTTGAGGAAGTTTATTTACAGTAGCGCATAAGCTAGCTGATACTATGCATTTGAATGCGTGTTGAAGTGTACCACCATTTATAGTATAGATATTGGTTAAATAAGCATAACTGACACAGTGTTTATTGTATTGTTTATTTGCAGTTTTTACCGTGATGTTATATGAAGAGTGGACAGTAAATGTTTTGATCTTGCTACGACCACTTCATTGACTACGGTTTAACTCGGTGTTAAGTCACAGTATCAACACGCTGCACAAGAACACTAAATGCCAAGAAAACTATTACAGTGTGCACATTTATGATCATGAATATGTTAAATGTAAAAGCATAAAAAAATGAGTTTTCTTCCTTATTTATTTGACACATTGATTACCATCAAAATGTCAGTTACACAAAAAGCTAATTTTCAGCTTTAAGTCAATGTGTAGGGTGATGTTACAATTCAAACAAGCACAAAAAATTACCTACTATTAGACAAAGTAGAACAGAATATATGTTTATCATTATATCCAGTTCAGTGAAATTAAAAAGCCATCTAGTTGGTGCAGCAATCACACACTAACATACACACACAATAATAAAATAATAAAACAAATAAATAATAAAAGAAGCACACCACCATACCTTCTCACACTTATCAACTGCACAAATTTGTTGGTCTATCAATGAGTATTCCCTCAGTGGGAATATCTACTTGTCCTCATCTTAACTCATCTATATTGTCTGCCTGACCGCAACAGTTCAGATGGTGACCAGAATGAGAGGTGTGTCTTATGATATTCTGTGCTTTTTTGAGACAATGGGAACTGTGTAGTTCTTCCAATGTAGAGAGAGGGCAGCCAACAATCTTCTGGGCTGTATTAATGACTCTCTGGAGCAATTTCCTCTGAGCCCCTGTACAGCTGCTGTACCACACTCCCATGCAGTACATTAATATGCTCTCTATTGAGCCCCGATAAAAGGATACCAGCAGTCTGCGACTGATATTATCCTTCCTGAGCACACACAGAAAATGCAGTCTCTGCTGAGCCTTTTTCAGCAGCTCAGAGGTATTCACACTCCAGGTCAAATCCTCTTCAATGTGCACTCCCAGAAAACGAAAATCTGTTACCCTCTGCACACAGTCCCCATTAATGATTAGTGATGGAATGTCAGTTTTCCTCTTCCTATAGACTATTATAAGCTCCTTGGTCTTTGATGTGTTAATGAGCAGGTTGTTCTCTCTGCCCCACTCTATAGGCCTCTCTACCTCATCCCTGTAGGTAGACTCATCCTGCCCAGAGATAAGTCCCACCACCATGGTGCCGTCCACAAACTTAATGATGGTGTTGCTGGTGTGTGCAGAGCTGCAGTCGTAGGTATAGAGGGTGTAGAACAGGGGGCTCAGCACACAGCCCTGCAGAGAGCTGGTACCGATGCTGAGGGCCATAGATGTATGGTGCCCCACTGTAATCCTCTGACTGCGACCTGATAGAAAGCTGTATATTTATGTGCAAATTGAATGTGGATGTCTCAAAACATCCAGATATCCACCAGTTTGTGAGGAAGAATGGTGTTAAACGCCGAGCTATAATCTACAAAGAGCAGCAGCACATAGCTCCCCTGCTGCTCCAGGTGGCAAAGAGCAGCATGGAGAGCTATGACTACGGCATCCTCCCTAGATCTATTTGCTCTGTATGCAAACAGGTGGGGATCAAAACTTGGGGGCGGAATGATGTAAAATAATCCCAGACCAATTTTTCAAAGCATTTCATCACCACCTGAGTGAGTGCAACTGGTCAATAGTCACTGAGGCTGGTAATGTGTGATTTCTTGGGCAGGGGAAAGATGGTTGAAGACTTCAGATGGAGTGGGACATTAGATTGAGACAAGGACCGGTTAAAGATTTTAATCAAGACTCTAGCCAACTGGACCTCACAGTCCTTCAACAGATGTCCGGGGATGCCATCGGGTCCAGTAGCCTTCCTCGGGTTAACAGCCTGTAACATACGCCTCACCCTGCACTCATCAACTGTAAGGGTGGTATTGTTTTGGACCGAAGGCTGCAGTGTGTCTGCCTCTGGTTGTTGAAGGACCTAAGCGTCCTGCATGTTCATTTCTGAGGAAGGGTTGAAGTCAGAACAACCTTTAAAATATTTATTACAATCTTGATGAAGAAAAGCAATACAGAGCTCTGGGTTCTTTCTCTATCCGAGGCCCTGATTCTAAACAGCAAAACCGTTCGACTTGCCTTCAGAGCAAAGAAGAACGCCTCACACCTCATCCCAGTCAAATTAATACAGTTTTTGGAATATGCAAATGATGGTAGATCTGACGTCATCTGCGTTGTCCTTCATCCTCGTTCCTTGGTTGGTTTCTTGACCTCTTTCTGACCCCTCATTTGGTGATCTTGTCGCCAGGCAGATTTTGATCGGTGACATTCTCAGTACAATCATATCCTGACCTTTCAATAGACAGTTTTAGAGGAAGCACCTCTAGCGTTGCTATGCAACCGTGGTCTGCTTCCTGTATGTGGTTTCCTGTTTACTCTTACAGCCTTACACATGTCTCCTCTATTCATGAAGACAAGTGAACTGGTTAAAGCAAAAGTAAATCATAAAGCATATGATACTATTACAATGCATATGATACGAAAATAAACATGTAGATACAGTGGGTACGGAAAGTATTCAGACCTCCTTAAATTTTTCACTCTTTGTTATATTGCAGCCATATGCTAAAATCATTTAAGTTCATTTTTTTCCTCATTAATATACACACAGCACCCCATATTGACAAAAAAAAAAAAAAATTTTTGACATTTTTGCAGATTAAAAAAAAAACTGAAATATCACATGGTCATAAGTATTCAGACCCT